CTTCTCACCTTTTGATCTAGCCAGTAACACACCTCCTGTATTAGGATGCTTACACTCTGGATGAAGGAGCACAGGGGCACCTTTGGACAGCAGCTTTGTCATTCTGAAGGAAGGGGAGTATTAGATGTACTAGTAGATTTAGATACAGTAAATTGAAACAAAATTTGAGCTCACACTGCAGTTACACAAGCAGTTATAGCAACCGTTTATTTTCTTTTAGATTAAAGGTTTTACATGATTAAATAAAAGCTGACCATCATAAGAACCCCTGTCAGTGTTAAATGGTGATAAATGTAGCACTGTAACTGCTATATTTGTAGAACTTGTTCTGTCAAAAAAGAACAGACTTGCAGGCCAGCTCACCAGATGAAAATAAGGGAGAGAAAGCTTAAAAAATAAAACCAATACAGCCTATCATATCTAAGAAATGGTATGCTCTATTAAAAAAAAAAAGGTAAGCTAATAATAAATGTTTGCTTTTGGGGTTATTATCGCTTTAATATCATTACAATCTAAATTTAGTAAACCATGAATATAAGAGGATGATCTCATTCAAAATAATAAATTTTATTTAAAAAGACAACTCTGTTCCAGAATGTAAAAAATCAATGGTGAGATAGAACACGTGGATATATTCTGATACAGTCACGGACAGCAATATGGGTATAAATTTGGTTTATTTTATTTATTAAAATAGGAGTTTTTACCATATAGGTATACTCTTATATGACAGCTCTTATAACTGGGAGTTATTTGTTAAAGTGGTAGGAAACTAATTTTTTTCAATTGTACCTTTAGGTAAGCCTATAATAAAGCTTACCTGTAGGTACAGTGAATATCTCCTAAATGTGCGCCGTTTAGGAGATAGTCACTGTTGTTGCAGCTAACGCATGAGCTCTGAAGGGATAGCATACTCATGCTGTCCCTTCAGAGCTCTGTGCCACAGCCGTGACTCCCGCACACACGCGTGGGAGTGACGTCATCGCGACTGAGCCATTCAAAAGGGCCAGTGTCCGCTAGCCTGGAAGGAAGACCGGATGAAGATGGAAGCCCTGTCAGCAGTGACAACATGCCACTGAAAGGCTTTGTTTTAAGATAAGTCTTTCATAATGTGCTAGTATGCAATACATATTAGCACATTATGCCATTACTTTGCCTGGGATTTATTTTTTTTTAATTGTCAGAGTTTACTACTGCTTTAATGTAATTTCAAAATTGTTTTCAATGTTTTAAAAACTGCAGCTTTATTCAAAAAAATACTTGGCGATCTTGTAATGAAGTTCCTTGTTTAGGGGCTTCTTGTTATAGTTTGACAATAAGTTGTCACACATTGCCCAGGTAGTCAAGTAGACAATAAGTGGGCAAAGAGACAGCAGGTGACCAGTAGCAAAGAGTTGCAAAAAAGGAAAAAAAACAAGTGAAAACAAAGTGAAAAGCAGTATTCTATAAACAAACTGACAATTGTATACATTACACATATACACATGTACAAAATAGTAATTGATGATTATAAATTCAACCCGATTTTTATGTGAAAAGGCAATCCTGGAAAGGAAAAAAAAAAATGTTTTAAGAACATCTCTGTATACTATGTAAATTAACATCTATCGTCAACACAGTGTCAATAAATAGAAGAAAATAAAGCACCCCCTTTTTCCTCAAGGTCTTGTAACTTGCACTTAGAAAAACAATTCTGGTTACATATTTCCTAATTTATTGTATGATATCTAATCAATCGCAATACATGCTTTATATTTTTTAACAGATTGACTCCTCAATTAAAGGTAATCCATAATAATGTTGTATAAAAAAAATAAAAATAAAATAATAATATATATATATATCCTGTGAGTAAGTATGTAAGTATTTAGACCTCTTTCACGTTTTTCAATTTTGTCATGTTGCAGCCTGACACTACAGTTGTTTAAATTCCAGTGAAAACAGAATTTTAGAAATTCATACGTATGTCTGTGAATTTATTAAAAATTCAATAAAAAGAAAAAACTTAACTGTCACATGTACTTAACCTCCCTAGCGGTCTGATTATGTCCATATTTCTGTGCTCAAAGCGGTACATTTTTTTGCATGGAAATATGTTGTTTTTTTATTGTAATTTTTAGGAATAACGCACTGAAATCTGTCCGAACAAGAGTCTAGTAAACATCCTGGGTATGATAAAATTTGAGACAAGAAATCATAAATTATAATATAATAAATAATAATAATAATAATAATAATAATATAATAATAATAAATGTAATTCAATAATATAATCAAACCAAAAACACTGAAAATTGAAATATAGCGCTAAGTTTGGACATCACTGAGCTTAGTAGCAAAATCGTTTTCAGTGTCTGATGACGAATTTCCCCACGAATCATTATCACTCAATTCTGCAAGTAATTCTAATTTACTATCGCTATTCTCTAGCTGGTCTAAAATCACTTTTGACCTAAAGGGACGCTTTTTGGAAGCCATGAACGTTTCTCAGTTTCCAGGCAGAAAGAACAGTAAAAATGCAGGCAGGGCACAGGACAAAGCACTCGGGACAAAATGTATGTGAAATGCTTTTACAGATACAGTAATGTTTTACTATGTGATTTTAGTGTACTGAGTGAATGTCACTTTTTAACATTTTTAAATTTCCCACCGGTTCTGTCCCCCGTACGTCCTGTACATCCCGACACTCGCAGGGACCAGAACCCAGAAGACGGGTGGCCGGGGACACTGCAGAGGGGGACATAGCGGGAGCGAAGGACAAGTTAAGTGATCGAGGGAATCCCAGAGCAGCGCTGCAGGGTAATCCCGAGTGTAGCTCGGGGTTAACGCTTTTGGTACTGAAACTTAACCCGAGCTACACTGGGAATACCGCCAGGGAGGTTAAAGAAGAATTCTGGGATAGTCATAAAAAATCACCCATTAATACACCCCCCTACACAAAACACTAAACAGTTCATACAATTTTGAAAATCCATACCATTTTGGAGAAAAGTCTAACTGAATTTTCATGACCTCATCTCTGTAATTCAAAAGATAATGATTACATCATATCCTTTCCTCTCTCTCTGCAGTAAAAGGAAACTACAGTTCTCATCAACCACAGGGAATTGTACTGAATGTGGGTGGGTATACTAGGCCTGTATATGTTGAATGTGTCGGTCCGCCCACCACTGCAAGAGGGGCTGACTTACATCACTGCCTCCTGGAGAAAGAACTACAGAAGGGTTGTACCAAGACCAGTGGCTGGGAGAATAGGAGGCATCGCAGCCAGTAATGTATTTAGGTTTTGTGCTGCCCTAGGCAACACAAAAATCGTCTGCCCCCACAGACACCTACCAACCCCCCCCCCCTTCCCCCTCCTGCGGAGAGAGCCTTCCACTACCCCCCCCGGCAATAGAGAAAAAGACAGCTCCGGACATCCCCAGGAAGGAGAGTCAGGCTCTACATACACCATTAAGCAGCTCGCAGCCTCTCTCGGATCCCACCTGGTTCCCATAGCACACATGTCCCTTCTTTCATCAATTCTTCTGGGGGGAGGTGCTGCCCCCCTGAAAACTGCCGCCCTAGGCAAGTGCCTTGTTTGCCTTGTGCTAAATACGCCCCTGATAGCAGCCACTCGTCTTAAAAACAGGAAATGGAAAAGAATTTGAAAATGATTTGAAAATGAATAGCCTATTTCAGAGCAACTACTGAGTGAACCAGAAGATGGATGACACATTCAGTGAAGGTAGGAAATCAGCAACAAGGACATGTAAAGAAGGTTTAGCCAAAGTTCTGTTTTAAGTATTTAGACCCTTTGCAGCAACACCTAAAATTTACAGCAGGAGCCTCTCATTGCTCTTGATCATTGCTGAGATATTTCTACGCCTTGATTGAAGTCCACCAGTGGTAAAATAAATTGATTGGACATGATATGGAAAGGCACACACCTCTCTATGAAGAGAAATAAACCTCCTGCACTCAAAGGACTGGATATGGCATATGTGGAAGGATCTTCGTAGACCATAGCATTCAAACCAATAAAGCAGTGCTGTGCAGCCCCCTAAGGACTGGGGCAGCCCAATATGACACTGCAAAATAAGAAAAAAGAAGGGGAGCACAAGCCTCGCGCATTACCTCAATACAAACTTTAATCATAAAATGTAGCAGATGTATACTAACAAACAACAAATGTACACATATCATGTGATTTTATATGTGGTTTTATACTTGTCATGTTATAACTGATGCTGGTTTCATGCTTAGTGCACCCCCCCCCCCCCCAGACATCAGCAAATGGGAGGAACCCATTCACAAGAACTGGGGCCAGAGTCAAATGATGTTATATAAGGGGTGATTGCATAGCTTTAGGAACAGGCTCTGATGAAGGGGAGATCACTCCTTGAAACGTGTCAGCCATTCTCAAGTGTTCTTTTGCTTGTGGGACTCGTGCACCATTTCAGACCATGGACTATTGCCGGTCATGATATGCCTGTGTACATTTGTTGTTTGTGAGTATACATGACAGGTTGGTTGTACCCAAATTGATTGACTGATCAACGTGGGTACATTCAGTCTGCCCATACAAGTTTAGAATCTTGGCCGAACTCTACTGAACTGGCCTAAATTTGAACTTTTTATGGCCAGCTTTAGAATGACAACTCTCACTTACTGTATTCATAGAGGGAAACATTGTTGTCATGCTACAACAGGACTACCAACATACCGTCATATTTCATACCCATTACATCGAGATGGGATAATTAAAGTGTTACTAAACCCAGGACCCTGCATTCACTCTGGTCTCCCACAGTACACACAGCATGGAAATGCAATTATTTTAGTAAATATAAACTGCTAAATACCTTTCTCATCAGCAGTTAGAGCAGTTTTGTGACTTCTATCAGTGTTCAGCAGAGCACTGGTTAAAGCTTGTAAGAGGGAGTTTTCTTTCTGCTCTAGGAGGATGCAGGACCCCTGACCTCTGTCTGGAGAGTGCTTATTGGCCCTGTGCTGATCACATGCACTCTCCCCCCAAAAAAACTCTCTAGCAATACACACCAAACTGAGCATGTGCACAGGGTCTCTACACGATATGTCTTATCAAGAGATAAGAGGGAGGCACTGGAAGAAGGGAGGATCAGAGAAGTCAGGATCAAACAGCATTTTTTACACAATGCAGAGGATTAACCCCTTAGGTTCCACAGCGAGTATATCAAGCATGCTTTACTGCATATACAGACTGATTTTACTGTTGTGGGTTTAGTAACACTTTAAGCTTGGTACACACTTCTGTAATAACTGTGCAATGTTAGTACAGCGATCTGCCATTGGTTGAGAGCACTGGTCAGGAGCTGAACGACAGACCTTTTTCAGTCATAAACCCTTTGACAGAAGCCGGCCAAATGGCTGCCCTACACACGGGCTGAAAGTCGGTCGGATTCTATTGAACTGGCCAATGCCCGACATTTGGCCTGTGTGTACTAGGCTTCAGGAGTCTTCAGAAGATAGCTTTGTAAGAAAGATAATATTGTTTGATATATCAGTTCAACTCATGTGAAGTGACAAGCACACAGCATTGCTGGAAAGACTGACAACATTTTCTGAAATTAAAGCAGCTACCACGTCACATTAAAGTGGTTTTAAATCCATTTACTGTATTCCATCGCAGCTGACCAATTCTTAGATTTGATAATTGCATTCGTTTTCTTTTTTAGGCTTTCTTTCTTTTATTTTCACCTGGTCAGCAAGTCTGCTGTTTTTCAATGGAACAAGCTTCCCTGCAGTTAGAGGGTGAGATAAACCACATAAACACCATCCAAATTGCTTACAATGATCAGATTTTATTTATGTAAAACCATTATCCTCAAAGGAACAAAACTGTTATTGTAACTGTTTATAAAGTGTTAGCTGCGCTTTGGCTTCAATTTGTTAGGGTATCTAAGTCTAAGTGCATCTAACAATCCCACCCCACACCCCAGACACTGTCTAAAGGTGTCTCTGTTGCCCATTCATTCAGAGTGCATTCACCCTAATACAGGAGGTGTGTTACGGGCAGATCAGCAGATAAAATCAGAGGGAAAGAGCCTGAAAATTAGAAAACGAATGCAGCCACCACATCTAATGATTGGTAAGCTACAATATATTATATTTTGGGTTTAATACTGCTCTAAAGATATGCTTTAACACAAACCATTACTGGAAGATTGCTACATTCATATTGCAAGATTAAAGTGTATAACATTATGTACTCTTCTTAAAATACATTTCACCTCCTTTTAAATTTGAGAAACAATTTGTGGACTATTTCTAAAAAATTGTTATAGAAGTGGCAAAATCTACAAATCTCAAACTGTATGATAAGTATCAGACAAAACAACTAATCCCAGCAAAATATTTCATGCTTTCTAATTCCTTGTTTTCTTTTCTTTAGGAATGATTTCATGCCTGCAATTCCTGGAACTACAAATGCAAGTTAAGGGTTAACTTGGGGCCCCACCCCTGGCGTCAGGCACCTTCTTGTAAAAGTACGTCCAATACTCTCCAGCCAGAGATGAATTAGGAAATGGCTTAACAGAGCAAGGACTGACGCCTCCAACCTTAACTAATGAACTGAGATTAGTCCTTGTCCATAAAAGATGTTTTATTCTGGGGTATGGATGAGACAAGGAGGAGGGTCGCAATGACATGTCTGACTGGAGCTGATGGAGAACCAGTCTTAGCCTCTTACATTAGAGAAATTAAGACTGAGAATAGGTACGAGATTCTTCAACTGGATGGCTGCAGGTACTGGCTCCGGACATGGCTTAAAAAAGCTGCAAAGGTGAAAAATAGGTGTCACTGGATTACATTCTAATTAAATGTCACATTTCAAACCAATCATCCAGGAAAAAACCCCACACCTATACATACAATACACTTAGTATTTCAATTATTTATACATGTATTACATGTAATGCCATTGAGGATTTTGAAACATAATTAATTTACCTATCGTATAGCAATACAACATTCCCTTACTGAGAATGATGAACTCTCAGCAATATTCCCTGCCATCAAAAGAGCTTACAATTTATTGGGGCTCTATTATTACAGTGAAAAACGTTTTGAATAAAATTTTATATATACTGTGGGGGTACTTGTCCAGTTGTGTCTGATTGTTATTTCTTCCCTATGAAATATACAAAAAATTATGCAGTTCTTTCATTATTTTCAAAAGCAGGAAGGAAGGAGCGAGCTTAAAGTGGAACTGCACATCATCTGAACACCACAACCAAAAATGCTATTTCTGTTTCAATATTTTTATTAAGAAAGTTTTGTTTTAGGAATACAAAAAGCTCAAGATACGCCCACGCAGGGGCAGAGCAGAACAATAACACATAATTAGATACATCCTGCTGATTTGTATTAGCCAAATAACGAAATGTCCAATGACATCAAGGAGGGACGGAAAAAAAGCCGAACCAAATATTAGCAGCAGTAATCCAACATATTACCGGAAAAAGAGAAAAGAAAAAAGGTTAGAAGAAAGGAAAAAGAAAATAAAACAAACAAAAAAAAAGAGGAATCAGAAAGAAAACATGGAGGAAAGGGAAACTAGAAGAATCCACAAATGCTATTTAATTCATTGTTAATATTCAAAGCAAACTCCCCCATCCATCCATGTCTCCATGCTTTATTTTGCTGAGAATTCATTTTGAAAAACACCTTTTGGTATTTCTGGCAGTGGCCATCCTGTGTAAGGGCAGATGAATCATGTAGCATTTACTTTCTGGAATCCATTGGTCCTTACCTCAGGCATTGGCTGAGCTGAGAACCCTCCCTTCCGAAGATTCCTGGGATGTATGACATAATTTGCCTAGGCATGGAAACCAGGAAGTAACTGAAGAAATGTAAAAAAAAAAAGTTAAAACAAGTAAATATGGTATACTTTCCTATCTATATATTAATACTAGCAGCATAAGGATTAAAAATAGTCCATGTTGATTGAGAGAGTGAAGTTCTGCTTTAAAGTGCACCTGTGCCCAGACTATGAAAATGAAACTACTTATATATTCCTAACAAGCAGTAAAAGTCCTTTAAAGCACTCACCTCCTTAGCTGCTTGTAATGTGCAATTATTGATTCTCAAAACATCCTCTAAGATCACAACAAAAACTCTAAAGTCAGGTTCCAGACAATTTCCAAAAGCTTAGACTAGGTTCTCACTTATGTGACCTACATGTAGGCATTTCAATCTGCTGCCCTATCCGCACCACCATGTGAATTGTCGCGTGCAAAAATGAGCCATGTTTGCTAATGCAAAAGGATTAATGGCACCCCCAGGGCCAGTGCTAGACTATTTTTCACCCTACGAAAGATCAGTTAATTCGCCCCCTTCCTCCCCCCAAAAAAAATATATTTTTAAAACAGTAGAAAATATTAAATAAACAAAAAATTAAACTGCTACATTTCTTTTCATTTGCAAAAATAAGTTCCATAGCTCTGACAGGTCCCAGCCCAGCCCACACACACACACACAGAGAACACCTGAATTGAGTGATCCCACACAGTGACAGATCCGACACAAACACACCACCACCAACACTGACACAGATCAGCAGGTCCAGCAGGCACTAGAAGAGCAGGCTGTTGGATCGTGATGATGTCATCACTCACTGACACACTGCACATTTAATGGATGGCTGGCCAGCCAAGTCACACTCACATAGATACGAGAGTCAGACAGTACCTTCCTCCGCAGGTGCAGCTCCACCTCTGCTGATGAATGGGAAGAAAAGGGCTGAAACTCCACAGTGATTAGCAGCCGGCTTGCAGTAAGGGACTGAGTCTGAGAGGAACACTGGAAGGAGTGGCAGCTCAGCTGCTACACTGGCCCCAGAGACCCGATATCTTCCTCTGTCCTTTCTGCCTCCCCCTCAGCTGAAGGATCATTCATGACATAGTGGCATCCCAGAAAGTGAGAGTGCCAGCCTGTGCAGCACCCAGATGCCCCTAGGCGGCAGTGCACCCTAGGCAGCTGCCTAGTTTGCCTAGTGGAAGCACCGGCCCTGGGCACCCCTTGTGCATCTGCAAAAGAGCAGCATCTTTTGTGCGATTCTGGGAAACATTCCTGACCTGCACAATTGTGAACCTAGTCTTCAAATCACATTTGTTTACAGTGTTTAGAGTGCTGACAGACTGCTAAGATTCTACATCCATAGAAAATAAAAACCTTAGATTTCAGTGTTTGTGTTCAGAACTTTGAAAATACTTTTTCCACAATGAAAACGAAATGCTATTATTGCTTGTTCAGAATATGTCAGTACTTTTGTGTGCATAATCTGGGCACAGGTTCACTTTACACAATGGGCTGCCGGAAAGGTAAGTATATATGCTCTTTTTTTGCAGTATGAGCTTTGTTTACAAGTGACCCAGTGGCGAAAGGATCTGTTGTTGTTGGAAACTTGTCCACACAATAAAAAGGGTTGCTTCACAGAAAGTATTCTTTTCTGAAATAGCACTGCAGTTATGTTATCAGTTCATATTAGAATATAACTATAAGTGCAGCGCTATAAATGAGCAAAAATAACCCTACCACAGAAATATGGAAGAGTGTATATCAAACACGCATAACACATAAGGACATGCAAACACATAAGGACAAATCATAAGTCATAACTCAATGCAGTTGCTCTTAAATCCGTAAGTATTGGAGCTTGTGAGGTGAAACAAAAGATAGAAGAGTCCTCCACCGTCCCCCCAATAATACTGCCTCTTACCAAAAGGATTTGACCACCTTTAAGAATGGTCAAATAGTACCACTTTAAACCTCCAGATAAGAGTCAGAGATCAGTCAGTTTGCTGTTAAAGCACTCTCAATCCGAATCCAATGTCTGATAGACCAGATCTCTCATACAAATTGTGTTGATACAAAGCCTCCCTTAAACTGATGGCCATGGGCATATAGACCCCATTTTTTAATCAAAAAAACCTGCACCAAAAATATTTAACTCCTAAACCAATGCTGCTGTTCTTTGTTGACATATGGCACTTTTTTATTTATGTCTTTGGAGCACATTGGATTTAAGATATCTTCAATCTTTGGATTGGGACTTTAATTTTTGCACTTTTATTGGGACATTATTTCCTATATTATTTAATTTTTTTTATTAAAGTTTTTTTTATTTTTTTTTTTTTATAGTTTTTTTATATTTATATATTATATATATATATATAAACTTTTTTGTGCTGTGTTTTTTGCTTGTTTTTTTTATATATATATATATATATAGACCCCATTGTTCATAGAGGTGTAGAGGAGCTAAACAAACTCTTCTGCTGCCACTTCCAGCAATGTCTCCTCTCTACTTCCCACCACATGGAACTTCCAGACAGGTAGTCAAATCCTTTTGGTAAGAGGCTGTATTATTGGGGTGATGGTGGAGGACTCTATCTTTTGTTTCACATCACAAGCATCAATACTTATGGTTTTAAGAGCAACTCCGTGGACTTATACCATTCATTTGTCCTTTTGTGTTTGCACTAGCTCATGCGTGTTTGATATACACTCGTCCATATTTCTCTGGTGGGGTTATTTTTGCTAATTTATAGTATTTATTCTTATATTATTTTTTTATGATGTGCTTGGCCTACAAACATGCTAGCTGTTTTTTTACTATTTTTTATAGGTCTTCTGATTAATCTTTTAGAGCTTAAGCGCAAATGTTTTGTTAGGAATATCAGTTCATATTAGAAGGACATAATTTGGAGGTCTTCCTTCACGTACTCCTGAATGCAGGAAGAATAAACCATACCTGAGGACTCTGTTAATGTGCACACATGACGCCTACAACAAATGATACAACCAAAGCTTGTCAAATGCCCTGCACACAAGCTGCACAGTGACTGCCTGGTGATGCATGGTGCATACTGTATACATACTCTTCAGATGCCCAACAGCTGCTTGGCTTGCTTCTCCAACTGCCGGAGCAACATAAATTGGCCATCGCTGTGCTAAACCCTTCCAATGATCCAGAGAAAGTATCCATGTTTTAATTTCCAGCAGCCTGCTTGGTGTGGAGTCTGTCTGTCATTCAATCTGCTTAATACAAAGCTCTGACTTAAGCAGTATTGAATAAATTTAAATGAAGTAGCACCTGTCGATCAGAGTTATGCATTGTTTCTTAACGCAGTTACTCGGGGTCTGATGAAGAGCTTATAAAATCCGGGCTGGGCTCAGACAGCTCTTCGAGAGGACAGCTCTCATTACATAGATGATCAGGAGATGGATGCTGGAACATGCAGGGTGTCCTTCGGAGCAGTCATTTAGTATCTGTCAGCCGTCAAGAGATTGTATGTCGGATAGAAGAGTTCTGGGTCCCCCCCCCCCCCCTTACTTTGCTGTAGAAGGCCAAATGCGTGCACAGACAATAAATATATATTTTATAAATTATATTGTACAATCACAGATAAACCAGTCACTTTCAAACATGAGCTGGCACTAGAAATTTAAATCTGATTGGTGGCTGAGGGTGGCATGGATATTTCTTAGCTGAGTTGTTAGTCCATGTAAAAGAGGTTTAACTAAATTGCATAGAGGAACAGAAAACATTTTTTTAAGGGTAAGTATACTTTCAGAAACTTCTCGGTCCTCCTTGACCTAAGCTCCGTCATTCTCTTCCACCCTAGCCTCAAGCATTGGTGTTCATGGCCTTACTTATGTATTACTTACCTGCTCCCGCTCTCCCATGCTGCTGCTAGAACTGTAATTTTTTTTCGGGCAGGAGATCACTACACCCCACACAAGGTGCTACAGGCAGTGTGCTTCAACTCACAGAACATCTCACAATTTTTTGCAAAGGCGGCAGAAACTATGGATGGAGGTGCTATGGGGATGCCTAAAGAAATTCTGAGAGTGCTTCAACACACCCAGCCATACCTTGACACTGCCAGGGCACCACAACCATGAGGTCACTTGTAAAAGAAATGCAAAGATACTTACCTTTGCAGCTGCCTGTGTGACTAAAATCTGCTAGATCTCCGATCTGATCCTGATTATAGATATTCCACACTTCCAGATGTCACTACAAGAACTACAATGGTCAGCGGCCAGAGCAAGTATCCAGCTCATCTGACAGCTGCAGAAGCTGGGGAGTAGAGACTTTTTTCTATACAAGGGCCACTGGAGAGAAAGTACTGTACTGTATATTCACTTTTCTTTTACAGGTGACCTTTTGGTTAAAAGTAACCCTGTGATGACAGGCTTCCTCCCCCTCCTAACACCTATGCAGACTAACCAGTGTCAGAAAGATGTACAGTATATACTTACCTATTTTTAGGCTGCTCCGGTCTGGGCACTTGATCCGGCTCCCATGTGTCAGCAAGCATCAGCTAAAGGGGAGAAAAGAGAACACTTGACAATTGTGACATCACTCATAGGCTCTTATAGCCCAGCCAATGTTGGCGCTCCCTCCTCTTCCCTGCAGCTGCCACTGCCTGACACAGGGGAGCCAGATCATGCGACTGGACTGGAGCAGCCGAAAAAAATAGATAAATATATACATCCAGGGGTGCCCAAATCATATCGCCCAATACCTAGGACATGAAATTTCAAGTGCCGGGCAGGTGTTTTGTTTACATTTAGCCCTACTGTGGGTAATTGACTTCAATGCAAAATCACACCCCACAGACTTCAATGCAAAATTGCGTCCCATAGACATCAATGCAAAATCACATTCCATAGACTTCAATGCAAAAATGCCTTCTATAAACTTCAATGCAAAATGCCTCCCATAGACTTCAATGCACAAAATGCCTCCCATAGACTTCAATGCAAAAATGCCCCCCATAGACTTCATGGCAAAAATGCCCTTCATTCACTTCAATGTGAAAACTCCTGTTAATTGTAATCCAATGTGAACACTTATCTA